TGTAAAAAGATGGTCACAGCAAATATTTCAGAAATAATATATCTAATAAATTCAAAATTGCCAAGTGACTGAATGGCAGCAGTGAAACTACAAACTTTATACCAACATCAGCTCTTTGAAATAATCCTTCCTTTACTAGTACTGAGTTAGGGGTTAGTGCTGTGTTATACCAATAAAATCATTGTTATGCTGAAGGTTTTTAAAAGCTCCAGTTGAAAGGCTACAGGATTTCTGCTGTCCTATTTTGAGAGGACTTAAATGTCATTTTAAGACACTCAATTGCTTTGTAACCTCCTTACCTTTTACTAGTGGGTGTGTTTAAAATGACAGAAATTATTTTAATGAGAGAAATGTGCACTGGCTAGCGTTCCAGATATCTCAGAAATTCTTGAGATGCATTTCCTTTTCAGCTTGGATCTGGGAAACCAGGAGAACTTACTTCTGATCTAAGCTGTCAGTTCTGGTATTACAGCTGTCTCCCTTCTGAAAAAAAATTCTAAGATTCGAGTGAAATCCTGGTATGACATTTCCGTTCCTAAGTTTGTGGCCCAATGGCAGGGATTGCAGTTCAGCTCATGTAGCAGCGTAAGAATAACCCAAGTGACAGTTGAGAAATCCTATTTCCTTTTGCCATTTCTGAAACCCAGGCTTTTGTCTGTTTACGGCACAGAAGAGTCAGCGGCATTCAGACCGTGGTTACACATTTGTTGGTACTGCTATCTGAGCTGCCTTAAGCAATCCCTGCCCCTATTATTCATGTTTCCAGCTGCTCAGTGCAGTGTGTTGGCCATTTGTGCAATGGCACAGTGGACTGACTGAGATACTAATCTGGCAGAGGGACTTTTTCTTTTATTCTTTCCCTTTTATTACTGTGGTTTTTTCATTTTCTTTTTTTCCCCTCCTGGATTCTTCTTTGGTTTTTTTTTTGCTCTTTTCTGGATTCGTCTTTATTTTCTTTTCCTTTTTTTAATTTTTTGTTGTTGTTGTTTGGGTTTTTTTGTTTAACGTGCTCTTTTTTCAGCTGGATCCCCAGTCTGGTTTACCACACAAATGGTAAATGCTTGTACTGACGTGACCAGGGGAATGACCTTGCGTGGATACCAGCAACCATAGCAGTAGGAAAAGCTAGAGGTGGAGACTGCAGAAGCTGATACTGCTGCCAGTATTTGCTCATCAAACTGTGACTTTGCAATGTGGATGCCTAAATCTGCAATATAATACTAATCATTTTAGCATGCTGCAGTCAACAGTGTCTTGTCCTGTTTCTGTCAAATTCCTTTGGGTTATAGAACTCACTGATGTAAGAATAGCTTTAGTGATAGAGACAGACCTAATTGGCATCCCACCAGCAATATGCTTTGGGAATTCCTATTTCAAATTAAACATAAACTGCTATCAACTCTTCACTAGTCCATCTGGGAACGTGGAAGGGAAAACTCATTAGATGTACTCGGATTTGCTGTCATCAGAGGTTCTGAATTGCCCTTGCCAACATCATCATCAGAAATTTGCAAATAAGTTTGCTTTCTTGGGTAAAGCGAGCAGTCTTCTGTTAACCATTAACGGACAGCATCAAAGAACAAATGTATGCAGTTCTATTTGTGACTGAAAGAATTTTGTGTGTCATACTCTTGAGTTTAACTGATATTTATATTTTTACACACCACTTGCAATTATTTAACATGTCTGATGAGTTGGTGAGGAAGAGAAGGAAACTCAGTGCTTTTACAAGTATGAACAGTTGTTTAAGCAGCATATTGCAGTCATCAGTTTAATTAAAACTGACACCTGCAGTTAATGTTTGTCTAAAAACCCTGAAGATGCTTCTTTCAAAAGAGATGACCTAATCTAGGTTTCCATTTCTGGATAGACTCCCATCTTTGATGGAGGAAGCAAAATATCTCAATTTTGCAGGCTGCCCTGTAAAAGCTGTCTTAGCTGTTTCATATAATGGGGGTTTTTTTGGTCCAGTAGGAATCAGGTATTCTTTTCTATTTGCCTTGTGAGTGTTCAGCTGTATGGACTTTTTTTAGTGATATAATTAGTTGTTGGCAAAATACCTGCAAAAAATACAACTTGGAAACACTTGGGGTTTTTTTTTGTTTGTTTTTTGTTTTTATTATTTTATTTTGTTTGGTCTTTGGTTGTTGGGGGTTTTTTTGTTAGCTTTCATGTACTGAGATTTGGCTCTGTGTTCTACTGAGTTCCTTTCTTGTGACTTCAAAACTGTGGATGTGTTTGAATAACAGTATAGTTAGGACCTAATTCTTCTGAAATTTGTTTTGTATAACTAATTCTACAGATATTTTGCACAACTAATGTTACAAATCTTAACTAAAGTAAATCTAAGAAGTAATTACAATATATGAATAAGAATGTTTTGAAGATGTATTTAGAGCTAAATGGAAAGTTTCCAGAACTCGGATTCATATTTCGTGAGTAGAGGTTTAAATTTCTATTCGATATTGTCGTATAAGAATGTGGACAGGAAACAGCCTTTTTGTATCAGCTGTTAATAAAACATCTAAATCTGGTAATTTTGGAATATGCTCAAAACGGCTCAGTCAGGAGAGGGAAACTTTAAGTTGATGACTTCCTGTTACTTCCTGCCTTTCCTTGAGGGACTTGCACTTTCAAGAGCTTTGCCAGGAGACAGAGTATGTTTGCAAAGCCTGAGTAGAAAGAAGGATGCAATGATGACTTTATGTACCAGCAGACACCATTTTGAAAATGTTATGTGTGTACATGCGTGTGCAAAAGCAAACCAGGAAGCTTCATCAGAAAATTTATGATGTGGTTGTAGCTTATGATGTTCATTTAACGGCAACCTTAGATTTTTGTGTGTGTAAACCTAATGAAAATGGCAAAAATGAAAACTCTGTTAGCATCATTTAATTTGCTGCAATAAGCAAAAGTACCCTTAAAATTACCAGCTTGGATGCTTTCTAAGAAATTTCATACCACTTTGTGACAGAAAACACACCTTATTAGTTCCATCTCTTGAGAACTTGAGGGAAAATCTGCTGTGAATTGAGTGACTGTCGTTCAGATGGACTAAACGGCCAGCCGTTTTCCACCTTGGAGATGGACTTCTGGCAGGTACCTTAAGGCAGCCAGAATTCCAAAGCTAACCTCTACCACTTGAGTAATTTTTTCTGTTGTATGTCGTGAATAACAGTATTAAGTAGGTGCATGTTCAGCTTTTGCTTTTAAAAAACAGATTGACAGAGGAGCTATGCAGAGCAAGCATGTTTGCCGTATGCCAAGGGCCAACTTGACGGTTTTCATTGTCCTGCCATTGTGAGCAACTAAATTTTGTTTTTCCCATTCAAACACCAGATACTGTTCTGATTACTGCTCTGTACATAGTACTGTGATGGCATGTGTAGAGTTGCGCATGCATCAGCAAAATGATCTTACAGGGCTTAATTTGCCAAGAACGTGAATCTAGAATCATTTGATGAACCTGGATTTCGGCATATCGAGAGTATTCACAGGCTTAAACACTGACCGTGTTGGAGTTGCTAGAGAGAGGAAGCAGCAACGCAGTTTTTCCTTAAATTGATGAGCAAGTGGAGTCCTGGTACATCTCTGCATCTCTTAAAATACCTAAATTAATATGTATATCCCGAATTACTGGTTTTCAATGAGATACATGTCACTGGTCCTTCTCATGTTACTGCTGGGCTCCATTTATTTCCATAGGATTTGGGAGAGGGGAGGTAAATTTCCTTTTGCAGGGGATTGACGCCTTCATAAAGGAGTTTGGGAGTTCAGAAGTTTTGATGTCATCTTCACAAGAAACTCGTAAGGTTTTTTTGGACAAAAGCCACCAGTCGCTGCATTGTGTCTTCACAGAGATGGCTAAGTTAGCAAATACTCTTGCACAATTTAACATTGGCTTTGAATGCTGACATTAGAGTCAGTGACTAGAGAGAAACTGGACACCTGCATCACCAGATGTGGCTGCCTCATACGTTTTTCAGAAATTTCTATTGAGCCACATAAAGCTATGTTTTAATTAGCGTAAGAGGGTTCTTGTTGAGTACTGAAGTTCAGTAGGAGCCTGGCAATCCAGTTGATCACGGGACTAAACAGTGCTTTATGTTCAACATAGTGGATTCAATTAAACTTCTCCATGTTGAAGGCATTGACTGTGAGATATTTTTATGAGGCTTCTGGTTTTGGTGGGGTGTTTTTGTTTGTTTGTTTTTTTTTCTTCTTGCCAGGAGATTGTAGTTTTACATTGTTTATACTGAGTTTGTTCTTAGTTACTGGAATGTCAGGTTAGTGCTGTACGTTAGTTGTTGTATTGGGTTTGCGTGGCAAGGTTTTGGTAGCGGGGGGGCTACAGGGGTGGCTTCTGTGAGAAGCTGCTGGAAGCTTCTCCCATGTCCGACAGAGCCAACGCCAGCAGCTCCAAGATGGACCCACCACTGGCCAAGGCCCAGCCCGTCAACCATGGGGTTAGCGCCTGGGGAGAACAGAGTTAAGGGGGAAAAAAATCCCACCCAACTGCAGCAGGAGAAGAGAGGAGTGAGAATGCGTGGAAGG